TGTTATTAACTATTGGTATTAATATTACGGTATATCGATACAAGTTTTTGCTGCTTTTATTATTCACTTGCAAGCTGTAACTACACTTTACAGGCGCTCACGTAATCACGTCTAATAATGTGCTGCTTACGTAACTAAGTGTGTATGCCCTTAAAAAATATAAAACTAACGGATTATTAAACGCTTACACACACCCATTGGACTGTTGTAAATAAAAAAAATAATTTACCCATTTTGCTTTATATGTAGTTGACAGAGGGTCATTTTCCTTTTCAAAAGCTAGATTAGTTTTAACTCCTTTTTTAAGCCCTTTTTTCAATGTTGTTATTTTAACTATTGATTAGTACGGACCTTCTTAAACTCTATGTGGTCGCGTAGCAATATTTTGGGGTCGCGAGAGATTTTAATGTATATTGTTACCTAATAAATAAACCATCAAAAAATATTTATTTATCTTTCTTTCATATTTATATGGGATCGCCAGGAAACTCGCAATCATAAATGGGGTCGTGAATGAAAAAAGTTTAAGAAGCCCTGGGTTAGGTTAGGTACATAGGGCTTAGGAATAATCGTGGTATGCTGTAAATAAAAACGAAAGTATCACTTAAATAATATTGTCATGTAGTCGTCGAAAGGAGCGAACCCTTTTGCACCCTGCTTTTTCAGAGAAGGGGAAAGAAATTCATAACAAAAATTGTAATATTTTATCATCAATGTATAATGAAGATGCGAAGTTTTCAATTATGAGCTTTCTCAACGTCTCCAAATCAAGGATGAAAAGCTTTAGTACACAAAATTCCACCTAAAACCCTTTGAAAAACCTAAAACAGATTTCAACCCTCAAAGTGCTATCTTCAGTTAGAGTCTCCGATCAGCTGTGTGACCAGTCGTGCTGCACTCTTAATGGACGTATCCTTTAACTAAGGATGGGTTAAATAGATGCGGAATTTTGGGCTTTTGTTTTTACAATGTTAGATACAATATTTACAATCGTGTTGTACTCAAAATAAAATCAAAGTATCACTTAAATATTACCATGGTCGAAAGGGGTACGAGGAAAGGAGTGAAACATTCTGGACTTTGATTATTAAATGAGGGGTAAGGAAATTCAGAACTTTTAAGTGAGCTTTCAAATTTTGTGTGTAACGATCCCGTTACTTTGCAATCTACATCACGCTTTTTGAATGTCCCGAAATCAAGGATACAAAACATTAGAACCCAAAGTTCCACCTAAAACCATCGCGTTTCGACCATCTTCAGTTAAAGTCTACGATTAGCTGTGTGTCCAGTCGTCCTGCACTCTTAATGAATGTATAGATGCGGAAATTGGGATTTTTGTTTTAACTATGCGAAGTTTTCAATTATGAGCTTTCAAATTTTGTGTGATAAATAAAGCTTTAACTGTCTAAATTAGCAGTCTTTACTATAGTCTGAGCTGTTTTAAGAACATGGCTTCTCATTCTTTCTTTTTTATTCACAATAGTCGGGATTAAATTGTTCGAAGAAAATGACGCACTATAAAGGCTAATTAAATAACATTTTTATTCATTAGTCACGGTCATTACGTTTCGTTAAATCGCCGGAGAGAAATTCAAAATGGGCCGCAAATTTACCCCGATAGCCACTCGTGATGATCATGAATGGATCAGACGATTTTGAAAACAAATTTGGATCAAATTTGAAACATATGTTCTACATTCAATGAATAAAAATATATACTAGTAAATAAATGATCAAATTTAGGAATTAAAAATCAGTAAACCAGTTGTTGAATTTTTGCGACAAACTATTTACGTAAAATAGCTGTCATATTTACTAAATTTCTTTCTAAATAAGTATGAGCGCAATATAACGTCATATGAACGATATTTCATGTATTCATACATTTACAAAAATTATCTGTAATTTTATGACGACATTACATGAAGAAAAGTTTATGCAAAAAAATGAATTATTACGATTATACACAAAATTGCATAAACATGCCATAATATTTATGAAGAAAAAAAAGTGATTTTAATTATTAAATCTTTACACCAAATTTACATCACATAAATTGTAAATTTGTTGTAAACTTTTGGTAAATTAAATAAAATAAAACGTCTGACTTGAACAACCGACAGACAGACCGCCGGGTTAATTTCTCGAATTTACAGACATAAAGACAATTTTGTTCTTCAGTCATCAGTTTTCGGTTACACTTTAACGCAATAAGTTGTCACG